CCCACTCCGTGCCCAGAGGCACGGTGGCGGATAAGCATCGGTGTATGTACATGTAGATGTAGATGTTTTTGTGCAGATGCATGTGGATGTATGTGTGCATGTGTGTGTATGTACATATGCACGCATGTATCATTATAGTAGTGATCGTGTCTGTACATGTGTACCCATATATGTACATACACATACATACCATGGGCGTGTGTATGGACATGTTTATGTGCATGCATATGTTTACGCACAAGTAAATGTACATGCATGTGTATACGTAGATGTACCTGGAATTCGCAGACGTGTATGTGCCCATATATGTACATGTATCGGTATCTGTATGTATAGGGGTATGCTTGGTTGTATGTGTATTTGTCCATGCTTATAATACGTATACATACTTGTACATGTGTATATACATGTACGCGTTTATGTTACCCATTAACAAGGGTATTTGTAATCGCGCATGGATATGTAGGTGTATGTGTAGTGTATTTGTAAGTGTAACTGTATGTGTGTATATGTCTGTTAGTGTATATGTGCATGCCTATTTATCTGTAGTTGTACATCTGTGTAGTTGTATATGTGTTTGTGCATGTATATATATGTATATGTATAAGTATTTGTGTATGTGTGTGTAAACATACATGTGGATCTATGTGTAATTGTGTAGGAATATGTATATACATAGAATGAAGCATCTGTGTACAACTATTTCTGTACACGTGCATGTTCAGTTGTACGTAAATGCGCATGCACATGTTTTGTATATGTCTATGCTTGTGCCACTGTGTATGTACATATTTATGCATCTGTGCATGTATAGCTATATGCACATGTATGCGTATCTGTACACACAGGCGCACGTATCTTTGTTTGTACGTGTATAGGTGCATGACTGTGAAGCTGTATATGTGCACGCATCTGTATACTCACATGTGCAAGCCTATGTATATGTACATCCATGTGCAGTTCTCTGTATCCATGGATATGTACATGCACATGCACATGCACAAGTACATGTAGAGACACCTGTTTCTGTGCGGGTGCATGTATATGTGTATGTTGACGCGTGTGTATGTGTCGCTATGTGCACATGTGTAGAGGGTACGTATATATATATATATGTGTATATTTATTTTGATGTTTTTATCGGTGTGTGTATGGGCATGTATATGCTTATGAACACACACATCTATGTATATGTATATGTATATGCATATACATAGGCATAAGACATTTGCAGATGCACATGTGCATGTGCATGTGTATGTATATGTATATGTATGCGTGTATATGTGTGTGTGACTTTGTGCGTGTATTTGTGTGGGTCTGTGTATGTGCATGTATATATATATATATATATGTATATCTCTGTGGACATACTCGTATGTGTGCAAGTGTATTTCGATGTATATGTATATGTAGTTGTGTGTAGGCATATGTATATGTACATGGGCATGCACATGTATTTGTACATACATGAGTACTTGTAGTATGTGTGCATTTCTTTGTTTCGAGATGTGAACCAGTGTATATACGTATACAAGGACACGTGTATGCCTACGTGTACGTATATGTGTATGTTAGTGTAGATGTGTATGTGCATGCGTAGTTGGATGTATATGTATACGTATGAATGCATGTGTGTATCTGTATACGTATATGCATTTGTATTTGCACATGTGCATGCACATGTGTATGCACACGTGCATGTACATGTGTAAGCACTCGCACACGTCTGTCTATGTTTTTATATATAAGATTTATGCATACGCCTACATGTCTGTGCATGTCTATGTAGTGTAGCTTGGAATGCGTCTATACACATATCAGTAGATGTAGGTATCCATGCATCTGTACATGCATGTGCTCGTGTATGAAAATTCGTGTAAGTATATGCTTCGATTCAGGCGTAGCTTTTGGGATTGTGTGCATATGTCCTCAACTGTTCAGATATTTGTATATGTAGGTGGGTCGGTTTCATGGGTGCACGCGTGTATATATATATATATATATACAGGCATGGTTACACACACGTATTGGTACATGTACATATGCTTGCATCATGCGCGCCCCTCCAACGCAGTGGAGCTCACAGGCAAATATTTGACGCTGTTCGCGTTTTTATCAGTCCTCATCGCGAGGGGCATCCTCAACATTCGGAGGATCGGTCGCACCACCCACGCATATTGCGACGTCACGGACCATACGCAAACCGGATGTGCGCAATATTAACGCAACGCCACCAGTGACAGTAGGGTTTTCAATGATTTTGAACGCGGCTATTGGAACCATGGCCGTTTCGCGTAAGACACTCCCCAACATTGGAACCTTACGTACTTATAACCTTTCCCACCTTCTCCAACACGACAGTTTTGCTTCTGACATCCTCCAAGCGTTGACGTCGGAGAGTCTTTCGATCTGCAGTCGCGAGGTGTTGAACCCCCCCTTGGCGCCACACTCGTCGCAAGGTATGGGCGCCCCACTTGCGTTCGACAGCGGCCCCGCTATTCACCCCATTCCGACTAGCCGTCTGGTGATCTTCATCATTATCATAACTTTTTCGTCTTCTCTCGTCCGATCCATCTTCTTATGCCCCTCCCTCCTCGGTTTAGACTTCATACCCATCTTTTTCACCATGTTCTCCGATGCTTGAGTGCTGATGCTTTTTGTTTGTTCCTTGGTAAGCACGTCACGTGCCATTTGTGCATAGAGCACGTGGGTGGGTGAGTGAGTGGGGGAGAAGGTGGGGAGATGTAGACCCCTGCGGGGGGGGGGGTGAACGGTCGGATGGCCCCACCAGGACACCCAAGAGGGCACCGAGAGGCCGACCTCAGCTATTGCTCTTCGGTTTGCGACGGATTTCGATCTCTTGTGCTTGTGAGCTTCAGGCCCCCCTATGACAGCACAGCAGGCCCCAAACACCCTTCCGCGACGGCACAAGGGGCCGCGAAGAAGCACCCACAACTACCCAATAAGGCCCCAAGGCGCCCAAGACGACACAATAGGGGCCCACAACTGCCCAAGACGCCCCCAAGGGGCCCCAAGAGACACCCACGACGACCCATTAAGGCACCACGCCGCTCTGAGGCGGCCCAAGAGGGGCCCACCACAGCCCAAGATGCTCCTAAGACGACCCAACACCCAAAGGAGCCCCACGAGCCCCGAACACGATGCCAGATGGCTCCTATTCTGCCAAGGAGGGCACAGCTGTGACGGACTGCCCCAGAAGGACCCCCAGTATGGCCTCACGCGGTTGAAGGCAGAGGGTTGTCGCGCCAGAGAAAAAACACACGTCGACACATTTCGACCTACGCAGCTCCGTGTATTTCATTCACAGGTGCACTTGTTTGTTTGAGCACTGATAGCAAAACGCTCGACACGCTGACAGAGGGGCCGCTGTCGGCTCAGAAGGGGCTCTGTGTTTTTTGGCCGCTCCTTTGACCTAGGTCGGGGAACCTGTTAGTGGCCTACGCTCGCCGTGGTCAGAACAGCTCCTTCGTTCCCTGTTCGGCGTTTCTTACTGTAGTGAGATGGCTGGATCTATATGTACGTACGTATGTATGGAGGCATGTATGTACGTATGTCTGAATGCACGTAGGTAATTGTGCATACATGTATGCATGCATGTATGCATGTATGTAGGTACCGTGTATGCATACATGCATCCATGTATGCATGTATGTATGTATGCATGTATGTGCGTGAATGCATGCATGCTTATATGCACGCAGCCAGGTACACATGTAAGTATGCATGCATACATGCATGCATGTATGCATACATATACGTATGCATGTGTGTCTGTATGCATGCATGCAGGTATGTATGTACGTACGTGCGGTCGTACGTATGCATGTATGTGTGTATACATGCATGCATGCATCTATGTATACATGTATGTATGCATGCATGCATGTATGTATGCATGCATGCATGTATGTATGAGCGGTCGTGTGTCTGTATGTTTGTATGTGTGTATGTGTGTATGTATGCATGAACGAATGTTTGTGTGTTTGTATGTATATAAGCACGCACGCACGCACACACGCACCCATCCATGCATGCATGTGCCTATGTTTGCCTGTGTTTACATATATGCATACATATGTATATACACATTTCCACACGTCTATGCAGGCATCTTGTATGTATGTATGTAAGTGTGTATGTATGTATGTATGTACGTATGCATGCATGTATGTATGTATGCATGCATGCATGCATGCATGCATGTATGTATGTATGTATGTATGTATGTATGTGTATATATATATATAGATCTATCTGTATAGATATTGGGATCTGCCTGGGAGGTGGGATGTCTGGACCGTGGCACTGGGTACGCATGGTGGATCCAGGTCGCTTACAAGGTTTCGAGGGCTCCCGTCAGACGCTCCAATGACGCCCCCCGGATCGGTCCAGGGCAGCGCAAGAATTCGGCGGCGAAGCCCGAGCCCTGCTCTCTCGGATCAGCGATTCGGGCAACTCGATGGGCGGCGGGGGTACGGTTCGGAGTTCGTCGGTCACGTGGCGAAATCCACCCCTGCCTCTCGGCGGTTTAGGAGAATCGATGGTTGGTGGGGGTGGGGCTCGGATGTCGCCACCGAGGAATGCACCCGGGGCGCCCCGGCTCTGAGACGCTTGGAGGCGGCCCAAGATTGCTTCAAGACGGCCTCATCAGCCCCCAAGACGCCCCGAGGAGTCCCTGAGAGGAACCCCCAAGAGGGCGCAATGAGGCACAAATTATTGATTTCTCTTTTGTGTGCTTGATTTTTTTCTCCGTTCTTGTCTTGAGGCCCCCACGATCACCCCAATGATGGCCCAGTAAGCCCCAAAAAGGGCCCCAACACTGTACCTGGCCACTTTGGCTCAAGGCAGTCCTGCTCAAGTTGGAGTGCACCGTCCAACCAGGCCACCACCCGCCTCGGGATCTGATACCATAGCGTCCGAGTCAAGCAGGTAAGGATCTGGCGGAAGTAGATACGCGCTCGTCGCTGGTCCCTGAGATGGCGCAGCAAGAAGACTTGCCTTTCTTCGTCGTTCGCAGTTGCATCGTTGTGTGCTCCTGTATTATGGTGACGCATGTCTGGTTGTGTTGGGACGACTTGGTAGTCGCGTCGGTGGGACCATTGAAGCGATCGCTCCAGACGCTTTTCTCACCGACTAGTCCTTGCACCTCCTTCGATACCAAATTCTGGAAGGAGTTCGACAAGGTACGAGTGGCCCGCGGTCGTTTATTTTTTGAGGCGCTACAGGTCCCCGGGACGAGCATATCGTTGCTGACCATCATTTGCATGAGCGCCACCAGCGAGCCTAACTGGGGGCTCGCTTTGTCGGCAGTGTTTGTGTGTGCGCGTTACCTTGCAATCGCCTACTACAGCTGTTACATCAAATTCTCCCGCATCTCCGCCGTGGACATGACATTCTTTTATCGACTTTTCATGTCGATTCTCGTGTTGTGGACGTACTTCACGGACACCGACGACTTTCTAATGAACGGCGGCTTGCGTTGCGGGCTGCGGGTGGTCAACGCGGTCATGCTCCTCGATTGTAGAATATCTGTGAGATGGAACGCCTTCTTCTCTGCAGTTGTGTTCCTCACAGTCTGGCAGCGACGCGATCATCTGTGCATCGACGGGCGGTCTGGCACGGAAGCTTTCGTCCACTATTGCATGTCTGAGGTCGCCACTTGCGCTTGTGTCTGCGCTATTTCAGTTTTCTTGGAGACGTGCGAGCAAGACCGCATCAAGGCATCTCTGGACACCAGTCAGTCTGGCAGGGCGTACCTAGCAATTCAAAGAATGCTCAGTGTATTCTGCGACGCCCATCTGCGCATATGCCTTCAATCTAACATCATCGCCCACTCACCACACCTCGTGCATTTGCTGGGCTCGGGAGATCGGAAGGGAGAAATACGGAGCACGCTTCGGGGCGACTGTTTCCTCAGATACGTGGAAGAGGACGACAGGCAGCGCTTCCAGGACTTCATCTCAGCAGCGGCGGTGCCTCAGTCGGACGACGTTCCACCCAGTCGCTTAGCCACGTCGCCTGGCGAATGCCCTGACTCGGTCGACTGCGCCCTGGGCCCTGCTACTTCAATCCAGGTGTCTCTGCGAAAGGACGGGGGAGCGCACCTCACCCCCGTGGAGCTGTTCTTGATCCACATCCCCAACGCCAACGATGCCCCAGAGTTCCTGATGGGGATCCGGGAGACTGGCGAGGCGCTGCCGCACGAGGCGTGCACGGACGCTCCAGGAGCCGTTGCGCTGCAGCTGCACGCGGCGGCCGCGCCCGCGCGCGAGCCCGACCTTGAGCGGAGCCTCGCTTTTGGCCGAGGGCCCGGAGCGCAGGCCGCGCCGGGCACGCTGTCGGACGAGCGGCTCCGGTCGGCGGGCGCGGCGCTGGCGCCGGTCCAGGAGGGGGGGCCACAGGGGAACCCCACCCCTGCCCCCCACGATGTCTGAGGGGGAGGGTGGGGTGCACTTCGTGCGGGGGCTCGCGAGCGAAGTGAACCCCACCCTCCCCCTCAGAAATCGTGGGGCAGGGGTAGGGTTCGCATGTGGCCCCTGCAGGAGAAGCCGCCGCTGCAGGGGGCGCGTGCGCCCGGGGCGCCGTGGCAGGCGCCCGAGCAGCACGTCTGCCAGAGGTCGCGCAGCTCCCTCTCGTCGTCCTCGGGGCGCTCGAGCTCGGCGTCGGGGAGCACCGCGCGGGGCGCGGGCCAGATCTCGTCCGTGTGCCTGCTGTTGGACTCCGCGACCCCAGACATTTGTGTCCAGGAGATGTTGCTGCGGTTCGAGGTTGGGCCTCAGATGCCCTGCCTGAGGCAGTGGTTGCCAAGAAATGTTTTGGCTCGGGTCCAGCAGCGTTGCCAGGCGCTCGTGAATGCCAAGTTCTATGGCGGTGGCGAGGATCTGGACAGTGCCTTTGGGGCGGTGCAGTTTTGCAGGCGCGGATCTGCTTTTCTGCAGGCGGAGTGCGCAGAGCTGGCGGTCCATAGCCCCGCGGTGGACGAGGGCGATTCGGACGAAAGTGAAAGTGACGACGACCCTGATATGACGGTGACCATGAGCTTGCATGGAGTGTCGATGTTTCCCATGCCTTGGCAGATTACGCGTCACAGGATCTCAAGAACTCCGAGTCTGTACCCGATCGACGAGTCGCCGCAGAGTTCGGAAAGCTGATGCGACATGCTGGTGGCACTCAGTCGGAGTACGACTTGTCAGAAGATGGCTGCGAGGAGAGGGAGAGCGCCCACAGCGATATGGTGGGTGCTTGCGCAGATGACTGCCAGGGTCCACACCTTTCAATGCTGGTTCGGGTTGGGCTTCACTGGCGCTGCATTGCCCAAAGTTTGGGTTCCACATCGTGTCGCGTCTGAGAGGTGAGGGCAGAACCAGGTGGGGGGAGGGCAATGTACGTACTGTTCACGTGGTGTCTTTGGCCACCGATGATGTACTAGAGGCGCCGTCTGGGTCCCTGGGCTCCAGGGCAGCACGCTTTTCCTAAACTTCGCCCCTCTGGGTACCCACTCTCGTTCCAGGATTCTGGGGCTCCGTTTCGGAGCCTGGGGCGAAACCGTATTTACTGAAAACAAGATGCCCCTGGACGGCCCACACATCGCTCCAAGTGCCCCCAGAACCCCCCAAGGACCCACCCACGAGGCCAACATCTTGCCTAAGCCGTTGCTGTTTCTATATTGTTTTGCGTTCTGGCTTTTTAGCTCCGGACGGAATTCTGAAGCTTCAATATGACCCCAGGACGGCCCAAGAGAGCCCCAAGAGGAGCCCAAGAGGGCCCCAAGCAAGAGGCCCCAAAGAGGTTCCAAAAATCTTCCCAAGAGGACTCTACGAGGCAATCATTCGCTCTCTGAGGGGGGCGGGGGCGACTTCAAGACCTCGTCTTTTGAGCCATGGGGTCTAAGATTGCCTCAAGACCTCCCCAAAGAGCTCCAGAACAGCCCTAAGACCTCCCCAAAAGACCCAAGAGGGTCTCGAGACGGCCCCGAGAGACTCGCGAGGGGATCCCAAGAGGACCTCAGAAGATCCCAACCAAGATGGCGCCAAGAGTTCTCACAACCAAAGGCCCGCGAAATCCTCCTTCCTTTCCTCCTCCTTCTCCATTCTTCCTTCCTTCCTTCCTTCCGTCCTTCCTTCCCCCTCGTTGTGTCTTCTCTCCTCCTTCTCCTGCCTTCCTCCCCGAGATAAGCCCAGCAGGCTTCTACGAGGCTCCCAGGACAACTCTCCTGGACACTGGTCCGATACAGCCCAAAGGGGGCGAAGGCCTCTTGGGGACCTTTGTGGTGGAGTCCTCCCGTCTCTGCAGCTCCCCAGTGGTGACGACACGGCAGTCAGCCACACGGGACGCCGCGGCGCCCGCACGGGAACCTCATCAGCGTAACGCGACGCTGCTGCGCACGGGGGGCGCGCGAGTGACAGGGGCGGTTGCCCACTCATTTTGCGCCATCATGTGCTGCTGCATGTTTTCTCTTTTCTCGTCCACGTCTGGGCGCTCCCCCCCCCTCCTTCCCCTCGCGCCGCCGCTCTCGTCCTCCTTCCTTCCTCCTGCACGCCGGACCATCCGCATGTTGGTTGCCCCAGTTAGCCACACGCTGGAGCGGATTGCCTCTGCCCCGCCGCCGACGAAACAATGTGCTGCTCCACTTCCGTGATCAAGACAACTCGCCGAAGAAACGTTGTGGATGGGCTGGTGGGGTTGCGCGAGGCGTCGAACGTCAGCTCTCCGACGTGTGTCAGTGTTCGGTCGACAGGCTGAGTCCTTTCTGTAGGGTCACGACGGGTATGTCCTCCTCTTTCCTTTTCAGTGGCTGTGGGAGGACCCCTTCTCGGTCACCAGGAACCCACAGGGAGCGCCTGGTGACCTCAGGGGGTCGTGATTACCCCTGAGCCAGCCTCCCCCAGCCTGGGGGCCGACGCCAGGTGAGGGTGGGTGCTGAGGGGGGCACGAGCGCAGAGCAGCAGCAGACTTCAGACCCTGGAGGATTCCTCATCCGATGCGGACGGTGGTGGTATCCATGGCCGAGCCTGTGTTGCACTGGCTTCCAGGCTCTGGATTCCCTATCCAATGGATCCTTATCGAATGGCCTCACCGTGCCTTCCAAAGTCGATGAATAACACATGACGTAAGCATACACTTTCGGAGGTCTGCGCGGACCTCCCACTCTTTCGGTTAATATAATTATCTGTCCCTCGACAAAACAGCACGCTCGACAATCATGTCGAACCGACTGGAACTTTCCTGGCGGGCGGGAGGAAGGCGGGGGCCGTTGGGCTTCCGAGTGGGACGGCCACGGTAAGAGCTTTGCTTTCGGGGGGTGGGCAGAGACGAGAACGAATGAGACGGCCGCGCAGGGGTAGTCGCAGCTGCCCCTACGCGCTGCCCCACCCCGCCCACTTCGTTTTTCATTCTTCGAATATGCATCAACCGTTCGGTTTTGCGCATCGCCTGAGCGAGGCCCAAACTCAGGCCGAACAACAAGTCGTAGTCACGTAGGTGACATCCGCACGTGTTATCCACCAGCTGGTTTTCAACTGATCTCTCGCCTATGCAGAGGTTGATCCGGGGCCGATATGGAGGTCCCGAACTTTGAAACAGTCTTTTTCCCCCGCACGATGCAGTATGTCTCTGGTCTCAGGAGGGCCGAAGAGAGCCTCCAAAGGATCCCAAGGCGGCCAGTGAGTGTACCGAGAGTGCCCCGACATGTCTCAAGAAAGGTCCAGGACGGTCCAGAAGAGCCTAAGAGAGCCCGAGGTGGCCCCAAGAGACTGCAAGAGAGTCCAAGCGAGGACCCCGCGAATGCGCACATGTCCACAGAACTGCTCCAAGGAGGACGTGCAGGGTTTGGGAAAACAATCGTTCTTCAAGGATGCTATGCTGTGCGCGGCGTGGGCCACGTCCACCGTGCCAGTACACGTTTTTCTCTTAATGTTGCTCGCCACTGCGCCAGCAACAGTTCTTCTGCAACGTGGCATCCGCTCATCGTGCCCTACCGAAGGGGGCGGGGGAGTGAGAGGGAATGGGAGGACTTGCTGAAAGGAGAATTCAGGGATAAGGGCGACTGCGGTTTATCTCATGGCATCCGTTGTGTTTCCATGTCGCTGTATGTTCTTTTGTTGTTTCTATTTTTTTGTTTTTCTCTCTCTCTCTCTCTCTATCTCTCTCTCTCTCTCGCTTCGTCTCCTGCTTTTGGTTCTTTCTTGTCATCAGAGGTATCACCGCGCGGCATCTGCCGCGGCGTGAGGTTTAGTTATATTGAATCTCTTCGCTCATTCCGCCGGCCCGAGGGGGCCTCATGGGGGCCTCTTAGGGCCTCCAAGAGGCCTCTTGGGGGCCTCTTGGGGGCGTCTTGGGGGCCTCCTGAGGGCTCTTGGGGGCCTCTTGGGGCCTCTTAGGGGCCTCTCGGGGCTTCCTGGAGGCCTCTCAGGACCGAGGGCTCGAAATGTTGTTTCGTGCTCCCCCTCTGGGGCCGCTCTTGGGGCGCTCTAGGGGCCCTCTGAGGCCGTCTCGGAGGCCTCTTGGGCCGTTTTGGGTCCCTCTTGGGCCGTCTTAGGACCCTCTTGGGGGTCTCTTGGGCCCTCTTGGGGCGATCTTGGGAGCCTCTTGGGCCCTCTTGGGGCGTCGGGAAGCTGTAAAGGTGGAATCACCAGAATCTCTCCGAAACCTAAGGAAAAACAATGATTTTTGCATCTGGGGGCCCTCTTGAGAGTGCTCTTGGAGGCCTCTTGGGGCGTCTGGGGGCCATCTTGGGCGTCTTGGAGCGATCTTGTGGCATCTTCGAGCCCTCTTGTATCATCTTGGGGGCCTCTAGGAGGCCTCTTGACCCTTCTTGGGGCTCTCTGGAGGGTCTCGAGGGCGGCGCCCAGACGGAAAACCATCTCTGATCCGACCCTGCCGGGGTACTTTTCCTCTGGGGACCCCCTGGGGCCGCCCCCCGCGCGCGAAGTAGAAATACTGCAAAGCAGTTACCGGAGATCTTAGCACGCCTCTGGCCCGTTGGGCTGGCGAATTAGTGGTCGGTCGGACCATGGGGGACGCACACACACACACACACACAACCACGTCGCATCCAGATGCGAATAATCTTCTCTGTCAAGCAGCGCACAGGTTTTGATGCTACGATGTTGAGTATTTTCTCATCAGTATTTTCCTCTCCTTTCTCCTCCTTCTCCTCCTCCTCCTCCTCCTCCGCTTCTTAGCTGGCATTTCATGCAATTTTCTCGGCGCCGATTACGTGACTGACACGGTTGGCTAGGGAAAATGTTTTCGGTGATCCATTCGGTAGCATCTCACTATTGCTTCTTTGGTTCACCTCGGACGGCCACTACTCGATGTAGTATTGCTGCGTGGGAAAATCAGTTGGGGCACGCGGGGGGGCACCTTCAGCTCATTGATCAGAGGCTTCAGTGTTCTTCATGATGCAAGTCTGCGCTCCGATGCCGCAGGCCTTAGACCTTGGCCACGTCTCGCTAGAACCTGAGCGCGCAACTCGCGCTCGCGTGGTTCTAGCTTATCAACGGCAAGGCACGAGAATATGGATTATCATGGCATTACGGTTCTTTATTTTTCTACTTACCCCGACGGGTAAAGTTACGATGCTATCAACTTGGCGCATTTGCCCTCCAGCAACGCCTTGTGCACTTTCGGGTGAGAGGTTTACCGCTTCGCATTGGGTCAGAGTGTTTGCAGCAGCTGTGTGGAGCGGTTGATGTAACGCACTGCGTTGCACCACTATGGTTTCCAACATCCGACGGACTTACGCGGTTATTGTATATAACTATGTACAGAGGGAGAGGAAGAGAGAAAGA